AATAGCTGGATGTAAATTCATTTAGTCGATCAAATCCATCTGGTAACACAAAGCCTTCAATTGCGGAAAACAAAATTGACCGACTTTAAAAGAAAAATAGTACTTTTGGTTACCATTTCATATCTTATTAACATTGTCAATGGCTGTAGCTCGGTTATGTGCTGTTTAAAGTTCCCATGGATATGGTATTTAGTAATGATATGATACCTCTAAAGCTATGCTACTTTATACGATACTTCTAAGCAATGTTACTTTGAGTTCTAATTGACATTAGGTTTCGAGTTTTATCTTAAGGAGAGAGATATGAATTGAGAGATAATGGACATTCTTTGACTCACTGTTAATCAGTGTAAAATCACGAGAGATATATGGATCGAGATCTTAATGTATATAAATACGAATGGTTCAATATGAGTAAGAATTTACATAAACATTTGGAATATTTCGTTTTTGAGCAGAAGAGTAGTTTTCAAGTAGTGTTTGACTGATAACATATTAATCAAATATGTTGATCAAAAATTAAAATATAACTTGCATCAAAATAAGTATGAACAAGACTAGCCTATAATGAGATTTGGTTTTAAAATAAATTTAAAAATAAACTCTACCCATATGATAATTAAACATAATGAGATTTAAACCTAATCTACGTTTACATTTTTTTAACCTCTGAGATTCGATTTATTAATTGATTAATCTGGATCGAATACTACAGAGACGAAAGTGATCATCTCAACTTAATTTACTCTATTCACGAACATCAGGATTCAAACCCCTATGACATGTTATAATTTATTAATCGACTAATCTATATTTACATTATTATTATTATTAAAATTTTGAATTAGAATTAAATACTATCCATCACAAGTTATACCTCCCTATGAGTCGTGATCTGCATGAGGTCATATACATGGACGTCATTTTATTCTTAATTTATGAGTTTAAGGACGTCAGTGCACATGCAAGCTAGCTTTCAAGAATACTGGTATGTATAATATAAACATTGGAAATGAATTACAAGTCAAGATAAAGCAGGATCGATGAGGAAAAAAAATGCTAAACCACTGTGAAAAATGAGATTTTTAGATATCAAATTGAATTTTGAAATTAAGTTATGTTCCTAATTGAACATAAAAAAATTAGATATAGAATTTAACCTTAAATCAATTTTAAGTACTAAAATATATATTTTCATTTCATTCAATTAAGTTAATTAAATTGGGTGACTAAAATTTTGTAGAAAGTCAGTCTAATACGAGTTAGTTATGTTGGACTCGTAATAAATTTAATATAAAATTATTGCACCTCTTTCAAATTTCTTCCGTAAGATTGATCTCTGTATTATTATTTCAGCACCTCAAGATTTTTAGAGAATCCATTCTTAGTTAAAACCTTGGAAAAACATCCTCAGTGAAGGATCTTCAAAAAAATCCCTCCATAGTTAAAACCCAGAAGAGCATCTTCAGTGGAAGTATCTCAGACACCTGACACTTCTTGAAAAGTCCTGACCTCTTAACATGACCTTTGATAAGTTCACGTGACCCATCAAAGCTAAATATATTGTTAGTTGACCATATCTATTGAATTTGTCAATCTACGAGTAACTATAATGACCCAACTCCTAACACCAAAACTAAGGGTCACTATAAAATCTCTCAGTTAAAATTGAGAGGGGAGAAAATTTCTTTCTTCACTCATCTCTCTTCTACGTCCTTAGGAAGATAGATGATATAGACACAAGCCAACGATCGTTTAACCACCAACTGCGACTCTTCGCCTAAATCAAAAAGGGTGAATCGCCAACAACACAGATGTTACACCCATTCCAAATCTCCTCCACTCCGCGTATCAAAACCTCTGGAGAATCCTTATGTAGTCAAAACCTCACGAGAGCATCTCTGGGTATAAATAAATCTCTAGATGGCCTTTACATCTCTTGAGAAGTGATGATCCTTTGACACGACTTCTGACTGACATCACATGATCTTTTTATAGTCAAAATTAATTGACAACCAATCATACCTGCCAACCTATGAGTAGTTATAAAGACCTTACGTCTGACACTAACACTAAGGGTTACTATGAAAACCTCTCGGTCAATACTAAGAGATAGGTTGGCACCTAATACCATCATGCCCATCCTTCTTCTTCACAAAGAGAAAGTGTAGATGCTGGCCAACGGTTGTTGAACCACCTGCAACGACTCTATGTCTAAATCAGAAGGATAAATCATTTGTAGTTGTAATAGCTCATTTGTTCTCATTGAAAATTGGTGTCGTGAGCGTGGACAACACTCCGAACCAAAAGTATAAGTCATGATGAATCCTTCAAATTAGTCATTCCCAGAACATGTTTGTTCTGACGAACTACACCGAAATGCTTGCAGCGCGACAAACTATGAATTTTTCCTTTCCACATCACACTTAATCACTCCTGTAAAAAATTTCTCCAACCACAATATCGACAAGACTCTTATCAGAAATGATCTATTAAATGTCAATAATGCTTTAAAGAATAAGTCTAAAGTCAAGCCACTTTATGCATTCCATCGATTAGGGGGGAATGTTGTACCTCTTCCAAATGTCTTTCGCAATATTGATCTCTGCACCTCAAGGCCTCCAGAGAATCCTTCTGTGGTTAAAAACAAAAGAACATCTCAGGAGAAAGAACTTCATATGCATGATACCCCTTAGGAAGTCACGACTTCTTAACACAATCTCCGATAGGCCCACGTAACCTATCAGAATTAAATCTATTGTCAGCAGACCATATCTATTGAACATACCAACCTAAAAGTAGTTACCTCTGACATACCCACATAAACTGCCAGAGTTAAATCTATTGTCAAGAGACCATATCTATTGAACATGTCAACCTAAAAGTAGCTATAATCACTATACGCCTGATACCAATACTAAAAGTCATTATAAAACCTCTCGACTAAGATTGAGTGGGATCAGAACCTCCTTCTTCGCTCATCCCTCTTCTACATCCTTATGAAGATTGAGGATTTAAACACCAGTCATTGCCCGTTTAATCACCAGTTGCAATGACAATCCTGTACGTCCACAAGATCTCGTGGTAAGCTATACATTTTCATGTAATTAGTTCATTTAAACTCGTTGAGTTCCTTTCAACTGTAGTATTGATTTGTTTATTTTTTTTAATCTGCAGCCTAAACTGGCAACCATTATACCGCGTTTACAGTCGAAATGGCCGAACCTTAGAATCGGTAAAACTAACGAAGACTTCTGGGAAACGGAATGGACACACCATGGAATGTGTTCGTATTATCCTCAAGATACTGAGTTATTTTGATGCCACCCTCAATCTTTCCGACCTATATGATCCACTTAGACGTAACATTCTGAAAAAAGAATATGGTTCTAAATAACTATTTAAAGATATTTTCTGATACGAAGTGAATTGTTTAATGCTACTATCAGTCTTTTGTAATTTGTGTATTTTTACTTTTATTGTTTGATCATGCAGTTTTGGGAGTTAAGCCATCAAATAAACCACATCCAATCGACACTTTATTAGAAAATGTGTACGAAAAGCTGGGAGCCTATCCTCAAATCCCATGCAGTATGCCAGTTAAAGGCAAGCAACTATACCTGCGGCAGATCCGTTTCTGCTTTAAAAGAGCACATCCACCTTTTGTTCTTCGAAACTGCACCGACGATATGGATGATATGTGTAGGTCAGTGCCACCTGCAGATTCCCGGAACCACCCACGGTCTCATGGTCTCATGTACCTTGCAAATTATTGGTTGTTGTCCAGTGGGTTATTATTGGCTTCTCGGTATTATATATTCTCAAACATCTTTTTAGTGTAAAACCACACGTTGAATGAAAGATTTTGCAAGCCTTTTCCTTGCTAATCTCTCATTGAGAGTTGAAAATTAGTACAATAATGAATAAAAAGAGATTTTCTCTTGTTGAATTTAACTTTTTGTATCTATATCGTATTTGTATTTAAATTATTTAACGATCTGAGTGGTTAATGAATTGTTATTTTTTGAAGTCTCATGTTCGAGCATCATGTATGCAAGAGTGTACGAACGTTTAATGTCAATTAATTAAAAAAAATTAAACATATATTACTTTATATTCATCTCGAACTAATAAAAAAATCTTAATTAGTATTACACCTAACTTGTATAGTTGTATACGTTATTAATTAGGAAACAAACAATATTATTTATTGACTTCGTATTTGTACCCAACTCAAAAAGTCTAGTTCTATAAAATTATTTATGTGTTTACATTCTAAGACACGTCTTAATATTTATTAGCAAACTTGATACCACCATTTAGTGGAATACAATTTTATATTGTTCACACGATTTAACTGCACGGGAGATCTTCAAACTATGATTCTATCTAAAATTAGTCTCTAAATTTTAAAACATTCTATTTAAGTCCCTGAAGTATGACACCATTTTAAAGAGAATCCTGAATTTTAAATGTTCTATATCTCATCTACCAGTATTATTCTATCTTGATTCTTACGTCAACGTATCATTAATTTTACTGGTTAAAAATTAATATGTTTTTAAAAGTCTCGAAAATTGAACTCGTGACCTGATTTTTTAAACATATAAAGTTAAAAGTAGATTAATGATATTGATAATTTGAGTACTAATATAGAATGTTTTAAAGTTTAGGATACATTAACGATGGAATGATATTGATAATTTGAAGACTAATAGAATATTTTGAAGTTTAAGAATTAATTTAAAATAAAATTATAGCTTAAGAATTGATATAAAATATGTCTAAGGGTTAATTTAGAATGAGAATAATTTGAAACCTTCAACACAATTATCTTCTGTTCACACTTAAAATAAAGGTTCATAATTTTATAAAAGAAAATATGAGCTGGAGTCAATAAAATGAAGTCATTTTAGACCTTCATTAATTCAATTATTAGTATTTAATTTATGAGTTTTATGGACGTCATTGCACATGCTAGCTTTAACATAACCTGGTATATGTATTAACAAAAGTCTTGGCTTTTAGCATCTCTCAGGCCTCAGATCGAAGAAATTAGTAAGATCGATGGTCAAGAGAGCTGTTCTTGTGGGTTGCACCTACAACGAGACCCGATTCAGTTTGTATGGTTGCATAAATGATGTGAGCAATATGAACACTTTGATTGTCCAACGTCTTGGCTTTCTTCAAGAAAATGTTAAGGTCCTGACCGATCCACTGTTACCGGAGGCGACTATTCCGACGGGTGAAAACATCAGGGATGCACTTTCTGAGATGGTAAAAAGTGCTGGAGCAGGAGATGTGCTGTTGTTCTATTTCAGTGGACATGGAACTGCAATTCCAGTATATGTACCAGGTCAACCTTACAGGGAGGAGAAAGCAATCGTGTCTTGTGATTTGGATCTCATCACCCGTAATACCTTCTTATTTCCATCTATTTCAGGAGATGTTACCTATTTGTTGACTAATGATTTCAATTTACAGATGGTTTTTTTTGTTCTAAAATACATAAAAAATAAAGATCAAAGTGATTATTTAATCAAACGTGAAGGATAATTTTGATATTTCCTCATTTGTTAATTAAACATTTGTGTATACAGGGAGGGAGTTGAGGGAATTAATTGACCAACTACCAGCAGGTGCGACCTTGACAATCGTTGCCGATTCCAGCTACAGTGGCGGCCTCGCCACCAAAGTGAAAAAACAAATCGAAAGCAACATGCTGATACCATTTCCGACATCATATGCGAAATTGATCAGGAAGAGCATCGATTTTAACATCATTCGTCAGATCAGAAGTGTAGCGTCATATCCGACTAATGATCAAGCAACAGGATCGAGCTTCATCAGCTCACCAGATGATGGAATCTTGCTAAGTGGGTGTGATGCGAACGAGACATCATTCGATGTGGTACTCGGAGGAGGAGGAGGAAGACCGTATGGGGCATTTACCAATGCATTGCTAAAAGTGCTCACGAGGAACCGCGGAGAATCGCTGGAAAATTCAAGACTTGTGTATGGCGCTCGAAAGAAATTGATGGAGGATGGAATTGGAGTTGATCAGAACCCTTGCCTTTACTGCAGTCACGACAATGTAAATAAACATTTCTTGGGTGGCTTTGTTGAGATTGATCAAAATGAATAATTATCTTCATTCACGATGGACATACGAGATTTTTGGGGCTATCGTTATTTAAATATTTTAAATTCTTATATAATTTAGATATTTATATGACTTATTATCTATTTATACAATGTAAAATTCTTTAATTTTACACATATTTAAGATCTTTGGATGAGTGAAATTAAATAGTTGATATTGACACCTTGTTTTTTCTCAGGGAATTGCTTCTCATTTCGTACGGTTAATCTTAACCATCTATTTTCACTATCAAACGGTCTTAAATTTGTGTAAAACTAAAAGAATTTTACATTGTATAATTGGATACTATCCCTATATATATATATATATATATATATATATATATATATATATATTAATTCATTTTTATCATCATTTTATGAGTTCATCTCTTAAAATTTTATAAATTAACATTCTGTATAAATTCATGTGTCTTTAGTGGAGAAACCATTGTGTACTCTACCCATAACTTAATTAAGTGGTTTAGGTGTTCCTATACATATACATAGGGATGGGCATACGACTCGGATCCGACGAGTTCCAACCCGATTTGTTCCATTTTTTTTAAAAATCAAGTTCGGGTCAGGTCGGGTCGAAGTTTTTTAGAGGTTGTGTTTGGATCGGGTTTGTATTCATTTATATATTTTTAAATGTATTCATATTTCCTGTAGCGTTTACAAATATGTTCGTTTAATATTGGACAATTAACACTCCTTTTCTACCACTCTAACAATTGAACGGTGATATCGATAGAGATGTAATAACTCTCCAACCAATTTATTAATTATTCGTTGGGAATTCTTTATCATATTCAGTTCATCAGCATTAAAACTTTGTCCTTCTCTCCGGTACAAATCATTTTCTTCCTTTGCCCTACCATTTTAATTTCATTGTAAGACTTGTCACACCAGTAATCTTTCAACATTTTTGGGACCAACAATAATACAAATTATGATAATAGTCCTATTAACTAAACTAATGATCAAAAATAGAATGATTCATCAATTAACTGTCACACAAATAATCTTAATTATGTGATTCATAATTTGATCTCTCTTCTATGAAATTATTTTAATTTTTTCATAATTCAAATAATTATAATATAGTATATGTTTAAATTAATTAACACTAATGTATATATATGGATAAACAATAAATGGGGTCATCTACAATATAATCCAAAAGTTGAACCACCTAAATGATCGAATGAGCCTATTCTTAGAATATGCAATATTTAAATTTAAAAAGATAGATTAAATATATAGATACACTACACCCAAGACCATTTAATTATTAGGGGATTCTAATTTGACTATCGACCTTTTAATTTTATCGATTAGACATTTTAATTATTTAAATGATGTCAATCAAGTCACATGTTGTAAACTATGTTGCGGAATACGACTATCGGATAGAGCAAAATCGCAACTGATAATTTGAGAAAAATAAAAATGAAGATAAAGAAGACTTAAATTTTACGTGGAAAATCCCTAAATAATATAGGGTAAAAACCACGGGCAAATATAGAAGAATTTTACTATGAGAAAATAGGAATTACAACTTCTATCGATCTAATAAGGAGAAAACAATAATAATTCTCTCTTGATAAAAAGGAGAAAACAACTCTCAAGAAACTCTCTAAATTCTCTAGTATTGGGAGAAAGCTAGAATGATTTGGGATGGTTTTGAAGTTAAATGGGTTAGAGTATTTATAGTTGAAGCTTAATGATTATTGTAAATACTCTAAAGTGCAGGGACTAATTTTACAATTTTCTCATGCCAAAAGTCATAAAAAACTGCTGCCTAATTTTGACAATTTTCATCCTTTTTTTCAACATTATTTGCCATGCACTTTCGGTGCATATGCAGAACCAACTTTCAACAATCTCCCACTTGAAGATTTGATTAGAACAATCATATTTTCACAACATTCTTTCTACCTTGTACCATCATGTTGTTGTATTCCAATGCTCTTTGCCTGGATTCGCCATGTACCGACTAACCACTCCCACTGCTTGTGCAATGGCTGGTCTTGTGCATATCATAGCTAACATTAAACTTCACACTGCCGATGCATATGGTACTCGAGACATCTTCATTCTCTCTTTTTCACTGCTAGGACTCATACTGGAAGATAATTTGAAGTTAATAGGAAGAGGGGTAGAAATTGGCTTACAATCTTGTATGTTGAATCGTGACAAGATCTTCTTCAAGTAATTGTTTTGTGAAAGCTAAATCTTCTTATTACTTGTGCTCGGTGAATTTGCATCCCTAGAATCTTGTTTGCTGATCTCAAGTCCTTCATTTCAAATTCCCTAGTCAGTTGTGCCTTCAATTTTTCAATATGATCTTTGTTGGGTCCTGCAACCAACATGTCATCCACATACAACAACAATATAACAAAATCGTTATAACCAAACCACTTGAAATAAGCACAAGGGTCTGCATTAAGTCTGTTGTATCCAAGGCACATAATGAAGGAATCAAATCTCTTATACCAACACCTCGGCGCATGCTTTAGACCGTACAGAGATTTGTTCAACCTGCAAACCAAGTTTTTTTCTTCTTCTTCAAAACCTTCAGTTTGGAGCATATAAATCTCTTCTTCAAGATTTCCATGAAGAAAAGTTGTTTTAACATCCTTGCTGATGATCACTTTGCGGGTAGTGGGATCCCACATGCGATACCCCTTTATTCCATCAGCATACCCCAAGAATTTACATTTCCTGAATTTTTTTGAACCCATATCTCCTTAGTTGTCTTCTTCTCCTCAATGTTTGACAATACTGCATCTGCTAATGCTAGATGAAAGTTTGCCATAGCATTCTCGTCTATCTCGTTCCTAGGCAATTGTCTTTCCTCAGGATGACCTTCATCTTTAATTTCCATAATGAGAAATTTCTCTCATTGAACTTTTCAATATCAAATTTCATTGTCATAGCTTCTATTAAGGATAGCTCCCACTATTTCACTATCGTGAATAGTTCTCTGGAACCTTCAAAGAATGGGTAATACCTTCTTACTTTCTTATGTTGAAGGATCCACCTTTTGGTGGCAACCACAAAGACAATAAGTAGATATTACACACTCTAATCTGACTCTTGATACCAATTGTTGCGGAATACGACTATCGGATAGAGCAAAATCGCAACTGATAATTTGAGAAAAATAAAAATGAAGATAAAGAAGACACAAATTTTACGTGAAACCCCCATAAATAATATAGGGCAAAAACAACGGGCAAAGATAGAATAATTTTACTATGAGAAAATAGGAATTACAACTTCTATCGATCTAACAAGGAGAAAACAATAACAATTCTCTCTTGATAAAAAGGAGAAAACAACTCTCAAGAAACTCTCTAAATTCTCTAGTATTGAGAGAAAGCTAGAATGATTTTGGATGATTTTGAAGCTAAATGGGTTAGGGTATTTATAGTTGAAGCTTAAGGACTAATCTTATAAATACTCTAAAGTATAAGGACTAATTTTACAATTTTCTCATGCCAAAAGTCATAAAAAACTATTGCCTAATTTTTACAATTTTCATCATTTTTTTCAACATTATCTACCATGCACTTTCGGTGCCTATGTGCAGAACCAACTTTCAACAAACTAGAAGTGATGTGACAGTAAACAAAACTAATATAATTACATTTTAATTCTCATTACTAACATATTCTATCAACTTGGTCCTAATTTTAATTTAATTCAATAAATTTATTAACGTGAGAGTTGGGAGAGCCACACACAACCATTAGGCCAACCTCACTCTTGTGATATAGAAAACAACATAATTTATATAACTTATACTAGAGTTAATACTAGAAAAGAGAATTATTCGAAATTGGGGATATTGGGAGTATAAGTAGGGATGGGTATGGGTAGAGTCGGGTCAGATTTTCGGTCAACCCGATTCGACCCGAAAATTGTACATCATCCACCCGAACCGACCTGATCCAATCCGAAAATATATATACCATACACCTTACCTGAATCCGATCAAATCCGAAAATATATACCATCCACCTGACCCGAATCCGATCCGAATTTTTGAGATAAAACCCAAATCCGACCCGACTTGAAATAATATATTTATTAAAAATATTTTTTATTCAATAACAATAGGAATTTAATTTAAAAAACAATATATAGATGATGGACATTATTGAAAGTATCCCTAAATATAAAGGTAAATTTATATATTTTCTCGAGTCAAGTCGGGTCGGGTATTTTTTACCCTAAACCCGAACCCGACCCGATCCAAACACAACATCTAAAAAAACTCCGACCCAACCTGACTCGAACCTGAATTTTTTAAAAAATCGATCAGATCGGGTCGAAACTCGTTGGATTCGGGTCGTATGCCCATCCCTATGTATATGTATAGGAACACCTAAACCACTTAATTAAGTTATGGGTAAAGTACACAAATGGTTTATCCACTATAGGATATTGTTTTGCTGAGTCATTCGACTATTAAAAGTTACAAAATGGTCCCCTGACTACATGACATTGCTTTGGTGAGTCCCTGACTATTAAAAGTTATAGAATGATCCACCGACTGTTCATATGTTCTAAACTCATCATTTTCTATTAAAAAACTGATGACAATATGAGTTGGACATTAACCTATTAGTTGGGATATGATAGTTGTTTGAAATTTTGAGATCATATTTTATCATATCACAGTCAGTATATTAACGCCCAACTCAGACTATCGTCAATTTTTTAATATAAAATGATGGGTTTATAATATATGAACTGTTTGGGGACTATTTTCTAACTTTTAATGGTCAAAGAAATACATAAAAGGAATGTACTACAGCTGATGGACCACTTTATAACTTTTAAAAGCCGTAAGATTCAATAAAATAATATTCTATAGTCAAGGGACAATTTATATACTTTATCCTTACGGAACGAGCAATAAAGAAAAACCCGGAAAACACCTAAAAAGACAAACACGTATAAAGAGAAATAAAGACCAGACAGACACCACCTTGCCCCATCAAACAATGACAAGTCAATGTCTTGAGAAAAATCAAAACGTGAGTAAAAGAGAACCACGTACACAGCAGATGATCAATCAACATGTAATAATTAAAGAGATTTTCTCTTGTTGAATTTAACTATTTTTTTTATCGTATTTGTATTTAAATTATTTAACGATTTAATTGATTAACGAATTATTATTATTTAAACATACATTATTTTATATTCATATTAGATTAATAAAAAAATCTTAATTAGTATTACACCTAACTTGTATACGTTATTAATTAGGAAACAAACAATATTAATTATTGACTTCGTATTTGTACCTAACTCAAAAAGTCTAGTTCTATAATTTTTTTCTGAATATTTTATGTGTTTACATTCTAAGACACTTCTTAATATTTATTAGCAAACTTGATGCCACCATTTTGTGGAATAAAATTTTATATTGTTCACACGATTTAATTGCACGGGAGATCTTCAAACTATTATTCTATCTAAAATTAGTCTCTAAATTTTAAAACATTCTATATAAGTCCCTAAAGTATGACGCCATTTTTAACAGAATCCTGAATTTTAAAATATTCTATATCTCATCAAACTACCACTATTATTCTATCTTGAGTTAAAAATTAATATTCTTTAAAGGACCCAAAAAATTGAACTCGTGGCCTGATTTTTTAAACCTATAAAGTTAAAAGTAGATTAATGATATTGATAATTTTAAGACTAATATAGAATGTTTTAAAGTTTAGGATACATTAACGATAGAATGATATTGATAGTTTGAAGACTGATAGAACATTTTAAAGTTTAAGAATTAATTTAAAATCAAATTATAGTTTAAGAATTGATATAAAATATTTAATGTCTAAGGGTTAATTTAAAATGAGAATTATAATTTGAAACCTTCAACACAATTTTCTTCTGTTCACACTTAAAATAAAGGTTCATAATTTTATAAAAGAAAATATGAGCTGGAGTCGATAAAATGAAGTCATTTTAGACCTTCATTAATTCAATTATTAGTATTTAATTTATGAGTTTTATGGACGCCATTGCACATGCTAGCTTTAACATAACCTGGTATATATATTAACAAAGGTCTTGGCTTTTAGCATCTCTCAGGCCTTAGATCGAAGAAATTAGTGAGATCGATGATTGCGAAGGTTACCAAGAGAGCTGTTCTTGTGGGTTGCACCTACAACGAGACCCGATTCAGTTTGTATGGTTGCATAAATGATGTGAGCAATATGAACACTTTGATGGTCCAACATCATGGCTTTCTTCAAGAAAATGTTAAGGTCCTGACCGATCCACTGTTACCGGAGACGAAGGCGACTATTCCGACGGGCGAAAACATCAGGGATGCACTTTCTGAGATGGTAAAAAGGGCTAGAGCAGGAGATGTGCTGTTGTTCTATTTCAGTGGACATGGAACTGCAATTCCAGTATATGTACCAGGCCAACCTTACAGGGAGGAGAAAGCAATCGTGCTTGTGATTTGGATCTCATCACCCGTAATACCTTCTTATTTCCATCCATACTTTATCAATATAATTAAGTTTTTAATATAAAAAAATATCGATGATGTTTGATTAAATTGTTATTTTAATTTTTTTTCTATATTTTGGAGCGTTTTCTATTTGTTACTAATGAATTCAATTTGCAGAGGGTTTTTTTTTATCCTAAAATGCATAAAAAAAATAAAGTTCAAAGTGATTATTTAATTAAAGTGAGAGATAATTTTGATATTACCCGGATTGTTAAATAAACATGTGTGTACAGGGATGGAGTTGAAGGAATTAGTTGACCAACTACCAGGAGGCTCGACCTTGACAATTGTTGCCGATTCCAGTTACGGTGGCGGTCTCGCCACCGAAGAGAAAAAACATACCGATAGCAACATACTGATACCATTTCCGACATCACATGCGAAATTGATCAGGAAGAGCATTGATTTTAACATCATTCGTCAGATCAGAAGTGTAGCGTCATATCCGATTAATGATCAAGCAACAGAATCGAGCTCGAGCAGCTCACCAGATGATGGAATCTTGCTAAGTGGGTGTGATGCGAACGAGACATCATTCGATGTGGTACTCGGAGGAGGAGGAGGAAGACCGTATGGGGCATTTACCAATGCATTGCTAAAAGTGCTCACGAGGAACCGCGGGGAATCGCTGGAAAATTCAAGACTTGTGTATGGCACACGAAAGAAATTGATGGAGGATGGAATTGGAGTTGATCAGAACCCTTGCCTTTACTGCAGTCACGGCAATGCAAATAAACATTTCTTGGGTGGCTTTGTTTATAAAATTGAATAATCATGTTCATTCACGATGGACAGACGGAATTTTTGGAGCTATCGTTATTTAAAAATTTTAAATTCTTATATAATTTAGATATTTATATGAATCACGATCCTTTTACACAATGTAAAATTTTTTAATTTTACACAGATTTAAGATATTTTGATGAGTGAAATTAAATTGGTAAGATTGACTCTTGTTCTTTTTTTCCAGTGAATTTCTTTTCATTTCTTACTATTAATTTTAATCATTTATTTTCACATATCAAACAATCTTAAATATGAGTAAAACTAATAGAGTTTTATATTGTATAACAAGATCCTATCCTTATATATATACATTATTGATAATTTATTTTTATCATTATTTTATAAATTTATCCCTAAAAATTTTATAAATTCACCCTAGATATAAAATCTTATGTTTATACTTGTTATTATGCACTTGTCCTGCTACCATTAATTTAACAGCAAATAGATGTTTTCGTATAGATTTTATTTGTTGGATGGATCTGTATGTCCCTTCCACCAAAACACGTCTAGGGTGTAATGAATCGAACTAGAATGAATAAAGTTATGTTTATATTTGTGTTTGTTTATTTATTAATTTTAAAAATTTTAGTATCGTGTTCGTATTCATTTATTTATTTTTAAAGGTATTCGTATTTCCTGTAACATTTACAAACATATTCGTTTAATATTGAACAACTAACACTCCTTTTCTACCATTTTATTTGCAAGCCAAAGAAAATTTGTGAAATTAATTCACTAGTCCTTAAGTTCCTTTGACTTTACAATTTTAACTCCAAAGTTTATCTTGTGTTCAATTTCGTTCCTACCTTCACTAATATTTAAAATGTAAAAAAATAAAGGAAAAGGAGAACTAAGTAAACGAGCTTATAAACGAGTCAATAAACGGGTTTCTTTTTTAACATAAACGAGCCAATAAACGGGTTTCTTTTTTAACATAAACGAGCCAATAAACGAGCTCATGGTCGTTCATTATTTAAATGAACATAAAAATTTTATTCATACTCGTTTATTTAGCTTAATAAACGAACATAAACAAATGTTAGGTTCACGAATAATTCATCAGACATTTTGCTCATTTATACCCTTAAACACACCGCATAATGTTTATATTAGTTGCTTTAATATTATTAATATTTACAAATATTTAGTTTTTATGTTAATTTTTTTAACAAAGTTTTTATGTTGATTTTTATCATAATTACGTTTATTGTTGATATTATTTTCTTTAATATTTTTACTGTTTACTGACATTTATTTTTTATGTTATTTTTTGTCATAATTTATTTTCATGTAAAAGTTGAACTTTTCTTAATATATTTTATTTATTACTAGTGGACGTTAATTTAAACTAAATTATATTTCTCGTTGATGTTTCAAATACCAAAGTGTAATCATACATTCATACTTTTCAGTAAAAATGTGTAATCGCACTTTAAGCTTCGTAATATAATATTTAGTATATTAATTCATCAAATTGCATGTTTCTATATAAATTTTTTATTAATATGTTAATTCATAATTAATTTTCAATCTGTGTTTGAGATTCTATTAAATAAACTTTTATTAATATGCTAATTTATAATTAATTTTCTTATATAACTTATAAGTGTTCATGATTGACCGTATATATGATCAAACTAAACTATATATTCAACTATATGATTGCTCAGAATATATGCTTAACATATATGATTATTATAACCCTCAGACCGATGCGGGTAACCCAATCCAATCTAGGGTGTCACATTAATGCTACCAAAGTGACCCATTGTAAAAATCTCGAAAAATTTAAAACTTTTGTCAAAACATGGAAACTCATAAAATAGTTTATGAATACAAAATAAAATTTATCAGTATTTAGAAATAAAACATATTTTCTGACTCAGATATAAAAACAGAGTACAAGATACATGCACCCTAATCATATGAACAGTACTCCGCAAATGATGTCGATAGTTGCACTGGTTCAGTTATTTTAACCAGAAAAGATGAGTAACAGAGTGAGCTTTGGAAAACTCAGTAATACAGAACTACCAGATGATGCTGAAGAACGTGCAGATACATATAAACATATATTTTCTTATCGGTTCAGACATCTACATATCTTTATGTTAAGTGGAGATCCTACTGATATTTCAGGTAGTAACAGACAGTAAGCTTTCAGTTCAGAGAAATATTTCGGATGACTGAATTCAGGAGATCATAATAGGTTATCTAGTGTGTTTCCGCAAAACCATTTAAAACATGTTTTCAAAACTATAATAGTCCCTCCAACCGAACGCCAATGCAATTTCCCAGAACTACATAACCTAAGGGAGTACCTTGGGGCTTGCGAGCCTACCCAAGAAAATTCTCAGGGCCACGGAGGCCTACCCAAGAAAATATCAGGGCCGCATAACTTACTCAATGGTCGCCTTAGGTCCGTAAGGAATTACAGTAGGAGCAGAACCTATAAAACGAATTAACTACAGCGATTGAACCTGTCAGAGTCTTCATACCCGATCTCATAGTATCCCAAATAAAACATTTTCATTCGGTAAACAGAAATCAGAAATTATAACAGAATTCAGATCAAATATCAGAACATAATCCATATCATATATCAGAATAGAAATCAGATAAAACGTTCATGTGATTAGGGAACACACTAGAGTTTTCAGATATGATTCGGAGATACAAGATAATCTTAACAGACAGAGAAACACAGATCTTCAATATACTTACAGAATGCCGGAAGTTAGAATCTCTATCGGAAGAGTTCATTAGCTGATGGAATCATCAGTTATTCAGAATGTGATTTATCAGTATCATATAGTATTTGAACGTTTTTCGGAGGCACTAAGTAATCAGAAGGGTATTCAGAATCCTTTGCATTTGAGTTACCGGTGTTTTTAGATATGATCAGAGCGATTTGAGCTGATAAGGGAGAACGAATATTCATGACATTTATAATCTATGTCGATCGATCAAATTATCGAACAACTTGAGCTGAACAACTCCCAGAATTAATGTCTATCGAATGATCAATTCATTGTCCTTTTAGGGTATTTACACTTTAATACCAACAATTCTTGTCTATAGATCATCTTCAGAATCATCGCTGAATATATCTTAAAGAGACGAACATATATTCTATGGGTCTTTATTTAATTTCCACGTTTCAACGGTATCAGGAAATGCCAACTTACTTGATTTATGGTTCATAACCCATATGGATAGTACATGATGTAAGTTCATCAGAGTTTCTAAACTTATCCAAATCATTTACTTAATCCTCAATCATTGAGGTTGTTAATTTCATTTATTAGTCATATCTATACCGATCACTTCCGAGTTTTCAGAGTAGTTCGGTCGTTTCAATGATTCAAATACGTACAATACTTCTATTCAGTTCATTTAAGAACTGTGGGTATTAGTAATTCCAGGGTTTAGAGGTACTTTAGGTCATTTTACACTTTAGAGGTATTTTAGTCATTTTACACTTTATGGGCATTATCGTAATTTATCCATGACACTCTTTTCGATAATTTCATATCCAAATATTTCTAACATTTTACCTATAACGAGATTAATCAGAATTTACGCTTTCTGAGATTCATTGATTTACTGATTAAATCATTGACTGAGGTTTAGTCTCGGTCATTCTACCTATTTCCTTTTCGAGTCGTCTGAGGCTTTTACAGTGTTCTATCCTTAATCCTATTTACGTTTGAGTCCAATGATAATTAATTACATCTAATGGACTAATCATTCCAATCAAGCCTATACCACCTATCCATTAGTTCCGAAAAGCATAAAAATGTAGTAATATATTACCTCAATTTTGGTGCCATATCGATCATTTAAACTCCATTCAAACGCCCTCGATCTTGAAATCAATGTCTAATAATTCCTCAGGTATAAAGCAACCGAATTTACGTCAGAAACGAAACTTAAATGAGAAACCATATTGAATCCAAATATAAATAACTAAAAAACAGCTTACCGGGTACGAATTTGACAAAAATGAACTTCGGATTTGGACTTAGGACGTTGATAAAACCCAAACAATAACTCTTGAATTCAAGCTCACCAACACAATTTCTAACTTCCAATTTTTTTCTCAAGAACCCGAACCTTCAAATATATGAACCCAAATATAAAATAAATTTCCTCGCCATAAAAATAACTTATTAAAAATCCTTTCTATAATAATGGGACATAACTGACAAAATTAAGAACTCAAAGGGCTAATTTAATACATAGCTATCAAGGTAAGTGACCAAAATAATCTTATTCAAACCATTATACAACATTCATAACTATATAGAAACTAAAAGACAAGGTTGAATTATTACTAAACTTGGATGACTCATGTTGTGATTTACCCTTCATCTTTTATTAACTTTTTCAAAAAAACCCACGTGCTCTATGTTCCATTTATACTTTTCTTATTTCCTTTCTTCTTTCACACATAATTTTTGTTAATAAGCCTTATCAACATGCTCTGAAGCAAGAAATCTTCACCGGTCGGAATCAAACATTGGTGACCATCGCGTCGGTCGTCGACTCTAATCACCGTTTAAAATCTAATTTATATTGTTCGAAGCGCCTTGATCTCCTCGTCACGGTTATGGCATCAAATCAACAAGATTCATCTCTGATGATCGTAAATCTACAAGTTACCATTCGACTTCCTTGAATTAAAAGCATCTATATCGTTGTGGGATCGAGTTTCATGGAGGGCATTTCATAATTTGGAGGTCTCATACGGAAGCTGTTTTCAACCTAATGTTGGGAGCAGCCTACTATCTTACCTCCCCTTACCCCATTACTAGGGGTGTTCAAATAACCGAACTAATTCAGTTAACCGATCGAACCGAATTAGTTCGGTTAATTCGGTTCGGTTACCGAATTAGTTCGGTCGGTTAACGGTTAAGAAAATTTTTAGAATTCGATTAACGGTTAATTCGGTTCGAATTCGGTTAATTAACCGAATTAACCGAAATTAAATTTTAAATATTAAATATATTATATATAACATATGGGCTCAACCCAAATCATTTAAAACTCAATTAATAATTTAAGATCCAATAACTTTT